ACCTGACTGGAGTATCTTCAAGAGCTAACCACTCCTGTAGAACATTTCCTGCTCCGCATCTGCAGATCCTTCAAACCAACGAAGCCTTATCGATAAGTCATCTTTTATTTCATTGTCATTGTATTTATAAGGTGCACCTAGCATTTGTATTTTTTCTTAATCACAAACATAAACTTGTTAGTGCATAACACCTTCTGAATTCTAAGCAGTCTAATTATAAGTAGTGCACTAACACTACGTAACATCTGACGATATTGCTCACATGGTGCATCCATCAATTTCATCCGTCATTCACACAATTCACGGTCGTACCCTGTGTCAAACGCGTTCAATTGTATGGCCAACGGTTTATGTTCACATGACAAGGTATGCACCGGTGAACTCAAAGGTGTGATAGTGCATCGACCTGACTGCCATAAAAGTACATTAGGATTTTAAATCCTTTAGTGTGGGATTGACATCCCACCGCTGTCACCATCTGCAGATATGAACTGTTTATTGGGGTGGAGGGCAACATTGCCAACAGCAGTAGAAAAGTATTGATTCAATTTGGAAACCAGGATCAAACATGGATCTGTGCATCCAAACGAGATAAAAACACTCATCATTTGTGGTCGGGGTAGCAGGGAGATGGTGCAGACTTTCGCATCCCACTACACCCGTTGTTCCCATAGGGTCTCCTTTTCAAGAGCTGCAAGACTTGGTTTTTACTTGATTTGCTACACAGTGGTGCGCAATGCGTCACGATCCCTTCGAACCACTAACCACAGTAGCCGAAAAGGTAGTATGCTAAATTAAAATGGCCCGCTCTAACTTCTAATTCTGTTTGTCTTGATGCATGAGGTGTATCCAAACTAGGTAGATGGGATGTTGATTTCTTCACTCCAGCTGATAGAGGTTCTCCAGTGCCCGTCCGTTCCATTTGTGAAGTGCGCCCTAGGTGGATTTTAGTGTGTCACTCGGGCTTATGGAATGTGATGGTTTCATGAGGCTAAGTTCTGTAAAGAAAAAGTTGCGTGTAATTTGCACCCCATGACTGAAAAATACAGGCGAGGCACTGCTTGTGATTCTTCCTCGAAGCTCGGGTTGTCAAGGTCTTTGAAAATAACAGTGAAAAGATGGCTTGCAGTTGACATGATTCATAGACACCCAGGAGGAAAAACCTGTGAATCTAGCTCTTGGAAGTGTATATGGCTTTCGTGCCAAACGTTCCAGTAGCTGTTCTCATCTTCATAAACGGTCGTAATGGATGACTTACGTCAAATAATGCAAATACTGCCTCTGATGCGGTCGGATACGAGTCTTCATAAGCGGCTGTACTCATTCAGCATTTCTCTTCCGCTTGGTGTGAACTTCAGTGACACAAAGCTCCTTATTTTTTTCTATTCAGACACCTCAAGAGTGAACCTAAGTTAACACAAACTTGCGTTATTTTGCTCAAAACTAGGCAGTCATCTCATTTACTGGGATATTGTTAATATAACTAAGCAGACATGGGATCGAAGTCGGTGACCAGATTGTGTAATCTACAAAGAAAATCTGCCACACGTTGGTTCCCTGAAGGACCAATGCTCTTCCGGAATGCTTGCTTCATTGCTTGAGGGTTGTCTGAGAGTCTGAAAAATGGCACCTGGGTTGCCTTTTGGCGAAGAGCTTTTACCAGTCGGCAAAGCGGTTGAGTTTCATCTACAACACGCGCGAACCGGTCAGACCTTGTCATCAGATAATGCCGTCAGGTTCTCTGCAACCCACACGTTATCGTAATGCACCGACCTTGTGAGTAGTATTGTGTGTTTCAATACTACGAGTATCCACCCAACTGGATCTAAATCCTGCGTTTAGGAAACTTAACTTCGAATTAGTTTTCTGCTCACATCAATTAGTATCCACCCCCCACCTCCAGAGACAATCGTTCACCAATGTTATTCCAGTAGATAATGAATTTTTCTTCATTAAAAGTGATGCGTCATTGTTGTACGCAGGTTGTTTACGGAAACTGGGAATACTCACCCCCATACGTACGCACACATCGCAGGCGCCCTTGGGGAGAGTATCTTTAATCAAAGGAGTTACACGGATATGTTTGGTTCATGGCTGCATATGAGAGACATATATCTCGTTTCTAAAACCAGTAATAGAGGCACATAGTGAGTGCAGTTCCCGCTGTATAAAAAAGGTTATGCTCAAAACATGCTTTCAGTGAGGCAGTCTTGCTTGATGGTCACCAACCCTGAAAGTCATAAACCAAGCAGTGACAACGTCCTCCATACCCTTATGTGATCTACACCTTGACTCAGTTTCAGAAGATGGATGCAAAAGCATCAGCCACGTCTCTCTACTAACCAAACCCACGAGAAAGTCGAATGCAGAGTTTCCAAATGCTGACGAAATGCGTATCGGGTTAAATTTTCAGGATAACTCCAGTTGTGCCTTTATACTTAACCGGCAAATCTAAGCCCCACAGGCCTTTTACTTATCAGGTCATCCAGGGGTTGGTGATAAGTTGGGAACCATACTTTCTCGTTCTAAAGCGGTCAGATCTTCTATGGGAGTCTCTCACATGGACTTCAATCACTTTAATCAACTAGGCCTTCTACTGGTATTGTGTGACTTTATGGCATGCGCTTGCCCGATTTTGTGAACGGAGCGAAGTTTACGGCTTCATCGCTGTTTTTCAGCCCTCCAATACCTACTTCGCGTCTATTCACCTTTGACGTAGATCGAAGTCGGAAGTTTCAGATATGGATATCAGCAAAGTATTCAGAAAATGCGAATTCAGGCACTGGATGTGTGGAGTATCGATGAAAGGAATCAGAAACCGTGGATTTGGCGGTATAAACTTTCAACTCATAACTGTACGTCATATTTCGGCAGATCTTATCTTGAACTCAGACAGTGATAAGATGCTCCGGCGGTTTTTGATTCATTGGAAGCACGATGTCCCATTAACATAGTATGTATGCCTCTCAGTCGAACGTTATTTTTGGGGTTTCAACTCGAATGATTCACCAGATGTGGTAAACTAATGTTCAAGTTTGACAAGATGGACTGCTCGATGCCCCGAATAACTAGGGTTCGATGAGCTGATGGCCTGAGATGTGACGAGTCGACCGGTCACCTGACAGCAAGGAATGTACAAGTTTATCGGAAGTTTTTGATAATCTACGGATCTCCTGTGGATCACCTAAAAATGTTACATTACTAACCTAAAAGTACCGGTTTTCAACAGACTTCTTTCATGCAGGCATTCAATTTTTTACGCGACCACCCTATAGCTACCACCGTAAAGGCTGCAATCTGGACTTTGAGCGGCGCGCGTTCCAAGCCATCCCGAACGAACAGTTCACACAGGAGAATCCTTTCTAACGAGGTACTCGAATATCATAAGTAAATATCATATTGTCAAACCAAATCTCAGCTCTACAGGTATTCATAGAACAGTTCATGTCGGAACGCTGGCGTGGACAGTTGAATGTATCGTTGCTAACCGATGACACACACAGGCAGGTGCAGCTGGCGGTAAGGTAAATGAGGATGCTTAGTTTTCATGACGTAATACATTGCTCATTGCTCCAAACTTTGCCACAGCCCGTTACCGGCAACTGGCCACAATCAGGCAGATGACATCCTGCTGTTGGGAAAAATGTATCGTGACACAAACAAACAAGCAGCGTGCATGAGCCCGAGTGGGCACAGGGGCAAGAAGGAAGGAGGGACATCGGTAAACAATTTACAAAAGGCGAAAATCCGCGGGTGAACTTTGGTCAGAAGAGTCAAGGGTTTTTCCATCCGTCCCCACACAAACTCTTTCGGGGATTGTGAACCATACGCAAGTTCAACAGCGGAGAGGGATTGTTTGAACAAAGTAGTCAGTGAAACATTGACAACAATTTGTCCGCTATGATTTAGCCAAAGTAATAGTAGTCCCTATTTGGATTGCGATCTATTTCAGTGGAAGAAAATTAAGGGAAATTAAAATCCGGCTTTATGGAAGAAATTCCTTTTCGATCAAAGTGCGGCAGGCCGTTCGAAAGTTGAAAAGCTCAAGATAACTCAGTGGTTATTGCGCGAAAGTACTGAAAGGAAGGTCTGATTAGAACCCAACATCTGCGTCTTGACTGTCCCTGTCTAGGCCTAGACAACATCGCATTATTTGAGCCCTCAAGCTTCCTTCGGGCGGCATGATGGCGAAGAACCGAGTGAATGAATAATTAATTTATTATTGATATTATTAAGTTTTGCTCAGACGTTTGATGTTTTTCGATGTTTGTTTCTTCCGGTTTTTGAAGGTTAAACCACACTTACTCTACATCTGCGAGCGAATTGACAGTTCTAAAGACAAGAATACCCTAGTTCTTGAGGAAACTTACAACCACCAAATTAAATCATGAAGAAGGAAAGGAGTAATCGACAATTTTTCTGAGGTTGACCTTTTTTCGAGAAGATCAAACAACACGTCGTTGCGGACAGCGATACTACTCAAAGGCCTGTGGGACAGTTGCCTTTCCTTGAAAAGAAGCACGTGCTTCTGAGCTTATTCTGAGCTCATTATTCAAGATGAAGGATCCTTAAATGTAAGAATCATTATGACGCAATTCCACTGAAGCTGATCTCATTCTCAGTGTACTGTGTCATCAGGATACGAAGGACATTTCCATTTGTTACGAAGATTTCATTCTTTCATCACATCTGAATTCTCCACAAGGAGGACCAGTTGCTCCTTCCGGACAGGAGCATTGCTTATTGCCCGTTGCATAATTCGCACCGGTTGTTTCACAAAACAATGAGGACGGCTAAGACAAGGAAAGGAGCATAAAAGTTGGTTCACTAGCGGATCAGTGCGATTCAGTCTGCAACTACATATATAATGAAGACTTCTTCTGGAGTCTGAGAAATAGCTCTGGTATTCATCATGTTGTTATGGTCAAGAAATATATAAGCCTAGCAGTAGACTCAACCTAAAATAAACCGTGACTTTAAATTTTCAGTGGAGGTCTGATATGATGATGATTCCACACCTGAGTTTAAGCGTAAGTTGCGTTTGAGGCAGAATGTTTATCGACATTTGCCAGCGGACTATGTAGCAAGGCAGACACATGCACTTCCTCATTCGTATGTCTAATTGGCTGTCATCCAGAAGTATCTCGCATCCGTAGCATTGTGGTCTCGACTGCTTCATCTGAACTTGGGTTCAGATGTGAACAACGGCTCTCAGATGGCGGAAAACATAGGGGTAGCCTCAGTTCAAAGTATCTTCAGTATGTAACATCGTTCAGGTGCGCTCTCTTGCTTCCGTATGGTGGGTAGCAATCGTGGCAACGGCTTTAGTGCAAACATGGTACCTTACACACTTTTATAAGACCATTCCAAACTTCGATGTAAGAAAGCGGAATGAAACAAGCTTGTCCAGTCGCCTCCGGTGGTATCAGAAGCCAACTGTGGATACAATCGCAGTTGTTAGACACTGGACCTCCTTAAGGCCACGTTTGAAAGCTTTTGTTAGGGGTCCAGAGCGTATTTGGTCAGAGTCAGGAGATCCTAGCCTCTCAGTAAGTGGGCGCACCTAGGTATCTGGTCAACCTCTCCTTTTTTACTGCAATGTAGCTTGTAACTTCCGTCGGTGATTCATACTGCGATGATAATATACACCACCTTCTGCACATAAAAAACATGCAGCATTTTAGAAATCATAAACCTGCACTCGGTTTTGGAAGATGAATTACATGCCCGAATCATGAAACGAAGGGAAAGGTGGAGTTACAGCTTTTAGGCTAAAGCGCACTCGGTAGTCATTTGACGAGATCTCATTTTCGGTCGATACAGCTGACCAATCGGATCAGAATGGGACCATCGATCGAACGCCTCCGATCAAACTAGGCATATCGTTGGAAGAGGCCAAGCGGTTCGCATGAAAATTCCAAGCGGGCCAGATCAGAGCACGACATAATGCCCAAGAACTGAAAATGGTAAGTAAAATCATTCTTCTAAAGCATGCTGATGTTTATGAGGTCTAATTTCCGCGGTGTTTACAATTCCCTTTCCCTTAGCACGAAATTATTAGCCTGCATATTGGACAAGCTGGCTTGCAACTTGGAAATGCATGCTGGGAATTATTCTGCTTGGAACATGGAGTTAGACCAGATGGGCGACCCAAAACAAAGTCACATGAGGATTTGGGAGTATTCTTTCATGAAGCCCATAAGGGCAAATTTGTTCCCCGTGCTGTTTATGTAGACTTGGAACCGACGGTCGGGGGTAAGCACCTGTTTTTTTCTTATATGGTGATCATAAATTATTTTTGTTTTATTTTGTAAAACAAGACTGGCATTTTTTTCAGTTTAGCTCGGATTCCTTTGTTATGGTGTTCAAAATTTGGATGAAAAAATGTCACCCTCACCTGTATATAGTGAGATTCAACCGCAAGATGATTAGGATGAACGAGTTTCGTGAATACTACCGAGAGCGAGGTGACTTGTGGGCAGCTGCTAACCAAGATTTTATCGAGTCTGCTACTGTTTGATTCAGAAGCTGGTCGGTTAAAAGTAGGTGCAAAGTAAGTTACGATATTAATTGGATACATTTTGTCCTTCAAGAGAAGTAGATGGTAGTTTCAGCGTGGGCAAAAAGTGAAAAAATGGCATCCGGATTTGGGTACATTTTTCACTTCTTTGAAAGGTTATTCCTTGAGAGCTTTAATGGAAAACAAAAGTACGATTTATGGACCTCGAAATCCGAGTGTGTAAATGCAGTGTAAACGAAAAGACACTCTAGGAGTGAGCTAGCAATTTCGATCTTTGGCTGACCGGGCGGGTGCTCTATCATTAGTTTGAATTTCTGGATTTTCATGGGGTCACACAAGAGATTTCTCAGGTAATTCCTTAGGTATAGACAAGGGAGATCAATGCGAAGGCCAAAGGGCAGGGTCGTAGTCAGCTCATTTGTAAGCTGTAGTCAGCAGTGCGGCTCCTGTGCTCCCGTACAAGACGGACTTGATTCTCATTTTTGAAGATCAGTCAGAGCGCTTGTTTTTCCTGATAAACAATGTCTCCCTGTCAACCTAACTTTACAGATGAAGTCCGCAATGGAACATATCGCCAGCTGTTTCATCCAGAACAAATTATCACAGGCAAAGAGGACGCAGCCAACAACTATGCACGTGGCTACTACACCGTCGGTCGCGAGATGTGTGATCTAGTGCTTGATAGGATTCGAAAATCTGCAGACCTGTGCGATTCACTACAAGGCTTTTTCTTTTACAATGCGCTTGGAGGCGGCACTGGATCTGGTCTAACCGCACTGCTTATCGAACGACTTGTCATAGATTATGCGAAGAAGGCCAAACTGCAATTTCTGATCTACCCATCACCTTTGGTCTCCTCGGCTGTGGTAGAGCCGTACAACTCACTAATGACCACTCACACTACTCTGGAGCATACGGATTGCTCATTCCTGGTCGATAACGAGGCTATTTATTACATGTGCCAGTAAGTTGAACCATCTTTAAACCTTCTCTCAAAAGATGTGTTGAAAGGCAACTTATCACTATGTCCTTAGGAGTAAACACAAGGGGGATGGAAACGCGGTATACTTAGATTGTATTCAGTTGCCACAGTGTGCCTCTGTGTACCATAGTCTAAAATTTAGTGCGGAAGCGTAACTTGTATTTAGGAGTAATTTCCACCGCGTATATGCTCTGCTGCATTGGGTATGACAACAGCTAGATAAAGTAAGATAAGCCATGATGGAGCGCATGTGAGGTCTTGCGGTCTAGAATCAAGACTTTTTAAAGACTCAAACTCTGATGCACGTTAGTAATGAAGTATTCCTGGACTTGACAGCTTTATGTAAGAGGACAATATCATGTGTAATAATTATGCGCTTGGTCCGCCTTCCTCTTCACCTCAGAAAGCATTTTCAGTCGTAAAAGTTAGAAGACAGCGTGCTTGAATCAAGCTTTTGCAACTAGATGCGACAGCATTATGTGGTCACATGGTTCCAGTAGTTCAAGGTAAACACATCAGGTTGCAAGCTTTTTGCACACTGCCATTGCCGATTAATCGTCGTCAAACTACTCAAAGTGAGGAAACCAAACTGCAGCCGTACACAGATGACAGGAATTCACACAAAATCAGGTAAACGCAAGATGGTTTTCGTGGGTATTTGGTCTCGTACAGCCCTATATGATACATTTTGTATGTGATCAAGAAGAAAAACACTCACAAAACGCATTCAAATGAGACTGGCGCGAGCTGCTTTAAATATCTCACGACTAAGCGTGCTGTCGTAGCCCAAACATCTTATGAGGAAGGCTGTTATCCCTATGAGCATTTTGCACCTGAAGCCTTTGGAGATAGTGTGATTCCTTTTGTCGCCTTAATAAATACGTGAAAGCTTCTGCATTTAGGTCACTCAAATGTGACTAGAGCATTGCCCTAGTTTCAGTAAAATTGGCAACTTTCAGTAAATTTAGGTGGTCCGATAATCTGCGCTATTCCGCATTTTATCCTCAGAATGGATCTCATCGCACTGGCACTAGAAATGATCTTATGGGCAATGAATGTCGGTTACGAGGCTTCGTTTGTAATTCAGCATTGAATGGAGATACGTTGTAGGCCTGAAGGATGCCCTTCATCACAATCCTTCTGAAAACAATGTCAAAAATAAGTAATGTAATGCCTATATCAGTCTCGGTGACTCTTCAATACCGGTAAACAACTTGAACCAAAGGCGGAGAAGGTCACTGAGGGAATACTCGCGGAATTTTAGTGAGTAACGAAGGTCAAGAGGGTGGAAAAGATGGGAAAAATCTGTATTCGTTTCAACTAATCTGATCAACCGGTCCGAAGAAAGTGTGTGGTAGTTAAAAGATCTGCAAGAAGGGTGGTGCCTAACTTCCTTAACGTTGCCTTGGACTATGAGAAAACACTTTAAAGAACAGTTCATCTGGCCCCCATCATCACAACCCATAACGGAAGGCTCAGATGTATCTTTCTTCCATGATGCGTTTTAACTGAATATGCTGCACAAAAGCCATCTTATATTTCCGTTGGCTTGACATTAGAGGTATCGCAGTACATTTTCTTGACGGAACACGCCAGTGATGCAGTTGCTGAAGGCTTCCGAGGCGCGCGATCGGTTTTAGCCTGTCTGGGGAGATTCCAAAGTGAGGCACAGAACGAGTCCTTACTGAAATTACCGCAGTATACTGGTTGTTTTGACCACAGTAAGGATCAGCTTCGTTCACGGTTGTGCTGTTTTACAGTATCCACATTGATTACAGGCAGATATTCCCAGAAACACTGATACACATAAATTATGAATGCTTTTTCTAAGTGAACTGGAACTTCTGCAATTAGTCTCCAGGTACATACTCCATATGTTCACAGGGCTCGTTGCCATACTCATTGTCCACAGGACTGGTGTTGTGCATCGGCGATTCGCTAAAGCATAAACCGCCCGAAGGTTGGCCCTTCGAAGAGGGTTCACCTTTAGTCAGGGTCTAGAGCAGTTTTCCGCCGATCGGGGACCACACATTCAGCTAATTGCATCGAAGTGAATTTTTGGTAACCCATAAATTCGTGGTTGGATTGCAATTTTCGGGAACAAACGATACCAGCTGTCTTGTCCCAGATGGTCTATCACCGATCTTAGATACCTCCCAAGTTCAACCTTATTCGTTACTAACGTAGTCGTCCCGTTACTAATTTGTCGGTAAGGTAACCTGAAACCACTTACCGGCAAGTCACCCACGCAAATCCAAAATTCATGTGACTTTACTAACAAGGTAGCTGGGTTTCAGTTAGAGCTAGACAAAGTTCTGGTTAGCTTTGATGTCAACTCGATGTATACAAATGTCCCTGAAGCAGACGCTCTGGAAGTAGCAAGAAGGTTTTTAACTGGCAGACACAACGCTGCAAGAACAAACGCAACTCTCCGTAGACGAGATAGTTGAAGGCATAAAAGTATGCCTAAACTTCAGTCATTATGTTTGTGACTCAATTGTATACTCCCAAGAACAAGGTCTAGCGATGGGATCACCAGTATCCCCGATTTTGGCCAACATGTACATGCAAGACTTTGAAGAAAAGCTTTAAACGGATTCGAGTGTCCGCCAATGGTTTTCTGGTGTTACGTAGATGACATGTACATTGTGACAAAGCGAGATGAGGCAAACGAATTCTTTCAGTTTCTTAGCACTTTGAACCCTCAGATTAAGTTTAGCATGGAGCTAGAGTCCACATCGGGTACACTACCTTTCCTTGACTGCATGATGCACAAGAGTGGTGGGAAATTCAAAACCACTATCTACCAGGAATCATCAGATACTGGTACGATCTTAAACTAATTCTCAGCACATCCAAAAGTAGTATATGCTAGTATGGTTTCAACTATGGTTACAAAAGTAAGAACACTGCACAAATAGGTCGACCAAAGAGTAGCACATGTCAAGATAGCGGACACCCAGTGGGTTTAATTTGGCGGCAACTAAGATGGGTATGGGTGCCAACACCAAGGGTTTACAAGGAGTGGGTCGGAACAGCAGTCATTCAGTACAAAACAGGGACATCTTAAGTCATTAGAAAGGTACTGAATATGACTGACAAGAAGAGAAAGGCTTCACGCTCGGTGTTAGTACAGTTGAAGAATCGCCTTTTAGTTGCTAGGACTAGAAATTGTGTATACGAAGGTGTGTGTAACGAAGGTTTATATAGGTCATACAGCCAGGGAATCGCACACCAGAATCGGTGAGCACAAGCGATCCACTAACAGACCACCGAGAAACGTAAGTGAATATCAGGCGATTGCCAAAGATTCGGCAATGGCAGGGTACGCACTAGACGCTGGGTACAAGACATTTTTGGAAAATGTGGGCGCGGTTTAAGATTCACACCACAGCAAATTGTGCCATAGGCGGTGAAAATCGCCAAGCATCCCGGCGTGTATAGAGTAGGACTGGCAAGCATACAGAGAGTGGTTTTAGATCAGCTGAGATGACACAAGGCAGTATGCAGTTATCAGATAATTGGTCTGGGTCTAAAAGTACAAAATCCGAGAGGAGTAGGATTCAGTTAACCACCCACACCCCCAACCCCAAGCAAATCGTCCCGGGACCTCTCGACGAACACAGGCGAACAAGACCTGTGAACGACCCAAAAGGAATATTCCATTAAGATGTCCTTGACAGAAAAAGCAAGGCCACAAATTGGGGTTCAGCATGAAGACAAGTCCCCCCTAACCAATCTGTCGTAATTGTTAGTCATCCCCAATAACTAAAAAACAGGAACATCAGATTGACACGCAGCACTGATCAAGTCAGCCAGTCATAGGAAATCTCATGCATTGTCTCCCTGACTGTCTTAAAACCCAATCAACCTGCTTACTTACTCACTTTGCTTGACGGAGCTTTAGTGTCAAAAGCGAAACGTGGCCAGCAATAAATCCTTCGATTGTTTACCAAACCTCTTTAAGACGAAGACTATTAAACTGGTTGTTGGTCTGTTTTCCGAGATGCTCAGTTGGATTGCATGCTCCACATCACCAACAGAGGTGATATCGTCATTGTTATTAGCTACTGTTACCAGATGCTGTTAGAAACTATATAAACACAAACAGAAGAGGAGGAATTGGCCCACTGAACACAGCATTACCTGTCACCTCGATTCGTGGTGCAACATTTGCTACTCAACTGCCGAGCTCAGCGAACAGAGCTACCGGGCTACCTTTATTTCATAACATCGCCAACTAGCACATTTTTGCACATAACCAAATAAGATCCTCAATAATCAGATTTGGAGTTGGGGTGCTATCTGAATAATTCATAACGTAGTTGCAAATAAGATCTGCCGTTTCTTCCAGAGGAACGCTTGTGCACAAGGTCTGAACTTCGATAGGAACAAACGAAATGAGAAATGTCAATGGAATCTTGCATAATTAACCTACCCTCTCGATCGACCACATCACTTAAGTCAGACGAACACCGGTGCGATTCATACCCGCTAAATTGGACTCATCGTTGTATATGCACTGCTGTCTGGATTCATCACCGGTAGCTAAACTACCTTGGCAAATTTCGCTAGCGATTTCTTTGTCCAGGTCAGTATACGCAGATCAGTAGTGCAGATAGTTGGCGGATCTCGCTAGGTTTATCTTTGTTGCTAAGCCAGGTATGCGTGCTTTGCTTCTCGAGGCTGATGAGAGCAACTGAAATGCTAACAAACCACTATCTTCGTCTTCTGTAAGCATTGGTGTGATGAATAGAGGTAAATCGACTTTTTACTTTTTCCAAACGGAGATTCCCTGCCTCTGTAACACATCCTTACTTTGTAAGGCTGTAGTTGAACGGACTCATATTCGGTTTTACAAAATGGCGCTCGATCAAGAACTGTTCCGGGGCACTTAAAAAAAGCAATTTATCGATGAAGATTACTTTTGCATATTTTGAAGCTGGAAAATCTTCTGGGAAATAGATGTTGTTTTGCTAAACCCCTGAATGACTGTTTTTTCTGAGGGGAATTTATAAAAAACGAGGTCAGAATCTGTGCGCACCTTTCAGTTTGGTCTCGTATTTCCAGTCCAGTTGCCCAAGTTCCCTGGTGATGTTATGAAACGTCTACGCAGTTTACTCTTCCTCAGAGTGACCCACTTTCACTTGGCTTGAAGTTCAAACTTACACCAACAGAGAAGGACAAGGTCGACACTGAAACTCAATTTAAATTCATGTCATTACCAGCAGCAGCGGTAATAACCGTGTACTTGTTGTACAGTGGTTCTGGCTGCCACAGTTTTACTCACCGACGATTTGGGGAGGTGGGGTAGATAGCCACTCATTGGAGGTGGTAGCTGATATAATTTGTGGGTAAATACCGAGTTGTCAGTGTACTTTTGATTGGGGAGACTGAATTCACGTACAGTCAGGTGAAGGTGTTAACTACCATTTCCGATAATTTAGGTTGGTTTTGAGCCAAACTAGTATACACTTTTTTCCAGTCACTATCAGCGGCGATGCAACAGTAGATTTCCCCGCACGCGGATCATTACTAGGCGATAAAGAACCAATTGAACACACAATCTGGTGTCCCTTCATCTGCACTAGTGTTCAAGCGTAGTTGTCGTGAGTAAAGATGATTGCCTCTGGAAAATGAGTATGTTTTGTCGCAAATAATCGAAAATTCAGAGCTGTTGATGCTGCTGGAAAAACCTTTTGACAAAAACATTACAAGCAAGCTCCAGATATTGAAGATCTTCGGATAAATCCACGATGCCAGGTAAGATATATGAAATCACTGGATCAGTGACCGCAGGTATGAAGGGCCCAACATAAAGTTACCGAATGGCTTGTGAACATCCTAAGCTCTCCCTGCACTGTTTAAGGGACTCTCTCGAGCTCGCCCATATCCCGAGAGGTACTGCGATGAGTTCCAAAATATAGTCCTCTGTACCATCTTTACTAATGTTCCTCCTTGTGCGACAGTTCAAAACTTAGAGGAAAGCCTTACTGCAGGTCTACCGGTTAAATATTTGAAAAAACAGTTTCGTTGTATACAGAAAACGTCCAGTTTGACTTAGAAAGTTGCCTGTGCAGGCAAGCTGATGGTATGGCGATTCATGGCCCTCCAAGTCCCACATTAGCAAGCTTCTCAGGGATACTCGACGGATAAGCGTCAGATAGCATCTCTTATTATGTTGGCAGCATTTATTTATTACTGATAAGTTGTGAAATATCCTGAGCTCTCTTCAAGCAAACCTGTGTGTAACCTATGGACATATGTTACCATTTTACCATTTTTGGACATACTTGTGAGCGGACGTGTCAAGGCGTCCCTCAGATAGACAAAGCGGGCAATCTCGATACATTTGCCGCTTTGTACCGGCACTGTACGAGTGAGGGCTGGTCAAAACCTTGTTTTACATGACTGAGCAAGTTTATAGTGCAACTAGCTTGGAATAAGAAGAGTTTCTCAATGAGACTTTGACTGCTAGCAGATATCCTGACGTCCTTACTGGCATAGTTCTGTTTCTCCTCCAAGGATCAATGTGCAGGGTGCGTAAAAGAAGGATATTTCTTATTTCTGAAGTTCTGAGGAGATCGTTCGGCAAGTGAAGTTGACCGTGAGATGAGTTTACAGCGCAGTATAACTACACATAATACAGACTACTCGATGGATTATTCTTCCAAAGCTAGACTGCGGTTCGTCGGATTTCTGGCCGTTCGCATAGTTTACCAGTCCCTTTGCGGCTGCCGAAACACTTGCATCGACATGACAGACCGGCGTCCATCAGAACACAGCTGTAAACCTTCAGGTCCATACCACTCTCAGTTAGTTAGTTATTCTCCTGGCCTGGTACAATTATTCTGGTGAGTCCACACCAAAGTGAGAAGCGTTGCACTCGAGTTTCGTTCTTACTAGAGCTCATCAGTAGTGCATACCGGTGATCTTTTGGGAAGTTGAATTCCGGACATCTAACATGAGAGGTGAGTGTGTTACCTGCCCCCACTAGACTCACTTGAATTTTTACGTCTCAGCAGGCGAACTTGTTCACGCCCGGGTGGTGGGATTGGTTGGCCCAAGCTTCAGACGTGAAAATTCATGTGTGTCCAGGGTGCGCTGGTGGAGTAGTTTCTACATGCCCGCCTCGCATGTCAGATTTTAGGAGTTTAAGTAACGGCACTGCCGGGGGTGTGCACTGCTGATTAGCTCCAATAAGAGTGAAACTCTAGTCCAGCGAACTCTTTTTTGGTGTGGACTCACCAAAATAAATGCCCTAGTACAGGAGGACAACTGTTCAACAGTAAGAGATGTGAACATGAATTCTACAAAGCCCGCAACATCCGCTTTGTTTTCTTCAAGCATCTGGGCAGCTGTGTCCCTGACTCATTTGTGGCCAAGGGTTAATTGCGAACGATTCTCCAGGTAGATACGAAATCTTTGTTCGGCATGTTGTTCCTGGACTGGAAGCAAAAGCGTCTATTGACCAGCCAACCTCTTTTAATCGAGGTTCACAAACCACGCTTACGTGTTGTTTTAGCTGAAGTGGTTCTGATTACGTGCCACTCACTTGGACACTCCACTATCTGTCTGTTCAGATTGGTTGCCAATCCAGTTTTATGCATAACCTGTATGTTTTACCTCTCTCGTCCGATGAGAATAAATAAAGTATTGACAAACCACGATCCATGTTTTCTGTGTGTGCTGATGCGATTGATAGAAGAACTGATGAGCCCCTCATGACCCCCAAGAAGGGCAAAACCGGTCGTGGGCTGTCGAAGAGTTTTCAGCAACCTTGTGAGTAGTTTCCTTTATGAAAAAAGAGAAGACTGAATGTTTTCACGCACAGACCAGTTGTACTCTTCGTCTCGATTTGCTGGCTTCCTGTAGAAATTTTCGGACATGGTGATGACGATGGCGAAAAATGACTTCTGAAGTAGTTGCAATTGAAAGGCTGGTTGACTTCTGCTAAAGCGAGTAAAAAGAAGAACCAACCTTCTGGAGAATGTAAATGTTCTTTATAAGATATATTTTGTTGCAACGCGGAAGATTCTTTTTGTAAACAGGGCACATAATACAGACTACTCGATGGATTATTCTTCCAAAGCTAGACTGCGGTTTGTCGGATTTCTGGCCGTTCGCATAGTTTACCAGTCCCTTTGCGGCTGCCGAAACACTTGCATCGACATGACAGACCGGCGTCCATCAGAACACAGCTGTAAACCTTCAGGTCCATACCACTCTCAGTTAGTTAGTTATTCTCCTGGCCTGGTACAATTATTCTGGTGAGTCCACACCAAAGTGAGAAGCGTTGCACTCGAGTTTCGTTCTTACTAGAGCTCATCAGTAGTGCATACCGGTGATCTTTTGGGAAGTTGAATTCCGGACATCTAACATGAGAGGTGAGTGTGTTACCTGCCCCCACTAGACTCACTTGAATTTTTACGTCTCAGCAGGCGAACTTGTTCACGCCCGGGTGGTGGGATTGGTTGGCCCAAGCTTCAGACGTGAAAATTCATGTGTGTCCAGGGTGCGCTGGTGGAGTAGTTTCTACATGCCCGCCTCGCATGTCAGATTTTAGGAGTTTAAGTAACGGCACTGCCGGGGGTGTGCACTGCTGATTAGCTCCAATAAGAGTGAAACTCTAGTCCAGCGAACTCTTTTTTGGTGTGGACTCACCAAAATAAATGCCCTAGTACAGGAGGACAACTGTTCAACAGTAAGAGATGTGAACATGAATTCTACAAAGCCCGCAACATCCGCTTTGTTTTCTTCAAGCATCTGGGCAGCTGTGTCCCTGACTCATTTGTGGCCAAGGGTTAATTGCGAACGATTCTCCAGGTAGATACGAAATCTTTGTTCGGCATGTTGTTCCTGGACTGGAAGCAAAAGCGTCTATTGGCCAGCCAACCTCTTTTAATCGAGGTTCACAAACCACGCTTACGTGTTGTTTTAGCTGAAGTGGTTCTGATTACGTGCCACTCACTTGGACACTCCACTATCTGTCTGTTCAGATTGGTTGCCAATCCAGTTTTATGCATAACCTGTATGTTTTACCTCTCTCGTCCGATGAGAATAAATAAAGTATTGACAAACCACGATCCATGTTTTCTGTGTGTGCTGATGCGATTGATAGAAGAACTGATGAGCCCCTCATGACCCCCAAGAAGGGCAAAACCGGTCGTGGGCTGTCGAAGAGTTTTCAGCAACCTTGTGAGTAGTTTCCTTTATGAAAAAAGAGAAGACTGAATGTTTTCACGCACAGACCAGTTGTACTCTTCGTCTCGATTTGCTGGCTTCCTGTAGAAATTTTCGGACATGGTGATGACGATGGCGAAAAATGACTTCTGAAGTAGTTGCAATTGAAAGGCTGGTTGACTTCTGCTAAAGCGAGTAAAAAGAAGAACCAACCTTCTGGAGAATGTAAATGTTCTTTATAAGATATATTTTGTTGCAACGCGGAAGATTCTTTTTGTAAACAGGGCCATCCTTTTAAATAAATAAATAAATAAATAAATAAAAATAAATAAATAAATACTGTGGTTTTCTCCGATAGTTTTCTTTACTATCTCCTCTTCTGTGGGGAAACCCCCTGTATCTGTTCTGTTGCAAGTATACAACATCCTGTATCACGGGAGCGCCCAACATAGGAGACCCCTTCATACTCGTGCGTCTTCCCCACTTTGTTTTCTACTGTGGTTTTCTCCGATAGTTTTCTTTACTATCTCCTCTTCTGTGGGGAAACCCCCTGTTGGGGATCTGTTGCAAGTATACAACATCCTGTATCACGGGAGCGCCCAACATAGGAGACCCCTTCATACTCGTGCGTCTTCCCCACTGTAATTTGTTTTCTACATAATTTACAAAGGATGTTGAAACGGTGACAAGTCTTCAAAAACTTATTGGTTGTAAACATTTTCAGAGCCAATTTGGAGTTAATGAAGCCAGGTTTTCCCAACCTTAACCGTCTCATTGGTCAAGTGGTCAGCTCCATCACCGCCTCAATGCGGTTTCCAGGTAGCTTGAATGTGAATCTACAAGAATTCCAAACAAATCTGGTTCCCTATCCACGAATTCATTTTCCGCTCTCATCGTACGCTCCACTTCTACCGGCCTCTCAACAATTCAATCGTGAAATCTCGGCTCCCCGGCTATTAGTCAGATGCTTCCGCCCACAATCCTTGATGGTGACATGTAACCCACGTCATGGAAAATACATGGCATGCTGTGTACTGTTTCGAGGTAATGTAAGTGGTCAAGAGGTCCAAGATGCCATAAGACACGTCAAGAAACAACGAACAATTAAGTTTGTCGATTGGTGTCCAACAGGATTTAAAATCGGAGTTAATACACAGCCGCCAACTACCGTGCCTGGTGGTGACCTGGCCAAAGTAAACCGGTCAGTGTGTATGATCAGTAATTCGACGGCAATCGCAGAAGCTTGGACCAGGTTGAACCACAAATTTGGCTTGATGTACGCTAAACGATCGTTCGTACACTGGTACGTGGGTGAAGGTATGGAAGAAAATGAGTTTACAGAAACCAAAGAGAACCTAACTGCGTTGGAAAAAGATTATGAAGAAGTCGGGATGGAAACTAACCTAAATTGAAAGTAAGTTTACCCGTCATCTAGACGGGTGAAGTGTTGGCACCCTTTCAGCCTATAAGGTCATCCTTCACTTTTTATAACTTCTGCTCAGAGGTAGATATCAATGAGTAGGACTAAATCGGGAACCTACCTGAATGCAAGATGATACTGTCTGCAAAGATAGAGGGTTTTCTCCAAACAAAATAATCCAGACTACCAGGAAACTAAATTGGCAGCAGATCTTTTGAAATTTGGCTTGGTTAGAGTTGTCTTTCTGTTTACTGATGCAGTTTTCAGTTTACACTTCCACGGTTTTACAATGACTTTCACCTTACGAAAACTAAGTGGGGAAAATACACCTCTAGAGTTCCATCTTTATACTCCTTGTGAGTAGCAATTTATCAACTCCAACATTATATGGGAACACTACAATGTTAGCTTGACCTACAAATCTGACAATTGAACCTGGCTGTTTCTGACTAGTCAAGGAAGTAGAATGAGGTAAACCACTTACTGAAGAGTAGACTTACACATGTGGATTGTTCCAGTTTTACGAGTGCATACAGGATGATGATTGTATACCTTGTACTTTGTGCCGTGAAATATTCCCAACATCCTTCCATGCGTCGAATCCTCATAAACACTTGCAAAAACAAGCAGTTTAGTTGAAGTGAGACAGTACTCATAAGATTTCTGAAAACTCTGACAGCGTGTGACCACTTCCCCCATCGGCTAGCCGTCGCCCCGAGTTTCCGTAAGCCTTATGTTTGATTTCGACACATAAGTATGCACAAGTGGTGAGATACACTGACTTGCGTACGGGAGACCGAGCTGAATATCCTATAACACTGCAGTCTTGCCTACCAAAGTAATACCAAAGTATTAAGGGCCAAAACCAACTGCCATGCTTTAGGGGGGATGGTCTGTCCATCCGTTTTGATTCACTAATTACGACGGAAAAACAAATCTTCGCTGCGTGGTTAAGTGTGCTAGTCGAAGTTCGATAAATGGAGCCGACGGTGGAATACTAGTTGAATACTCAGTCATTTCCCGATAGAGCACTACCGCCACTCTGGAGTACAAAAGTTTTCCTCAAATGATGCTTCCAAAGTCTTCTATTTGATCGGGCTGAAAACAGAAATGGCTACTGAAATGAAGTCAGACGATAGCTGTTCCCAACATTAGACGGACTAATACGGGCTCCTAATTACAGAAGTTAGTTTAAATGGATTTGTGACCGCAGCTTCCTTAACGATGTCGCTCCAAATTTAATGCTTGGCCTAGCCAGAATTAAGATGTTGCCATCACGAAGAGCCTAGACAGATGATTTGTATGTCTTAGCAACTCATCGAGTTGTACTTGAGGGTGCCCATTCAACTTTCATGACGTCTCTACTACCAGATGAGTCAGTGGACAAGAGTTTGACAAACGCAGTCCCTCCGTTTGGTTTTGGAGCAAGTGTGTTACTGGGGTAGCTTTGTAATGACCACTGCTAATTTGCGGTCAGACCTTTGAGCCAAGTACTTTGACCAAAGAACAAATCGTCCCTTGTTTATATCTGGGTGCCCTGGCATTAGTTCAGACAACATGGGACCACGAACTTTACAGATAAAATTAAGTTAATACGACATCGGTGCTTGCGTGGTAACAGCAGCTAAGTTATCCCATTCGCTACAAACAGCAAGGCGGATATGCAGAAACGTGGCTGCTAACACCTCCGACTATCCCACTTAACTGCCGCTCCTATAGAGATCCCAGCGGTGCTCCCGGCATCAAATCACTTAGGAAACCGCCAGGTTGCGCGCCACTACTCACTTTTACCGCTCCATATCGACTATTCAGGAATCGTTCTCCCGTTTCTTGTAAGCTTTAATAGGAGCTCTTAGACGAGCCAGACAACGAGTTCCTCTAATACATAGCAGGCATCGATCGATCGATGCTTGCTGCATCCCTGAAACTCGAAAACAGTATCCAAGTGCAGTTGTTGGGCTTACGACACAGACGATGCCACAGACCAGTAAAGTTGGGTTAGCCCACAACCACTGAAGCGGGATGGTATAGCTCAAGTTTATAAGTCGAGGCTTCACTGCTCTACTCTATACAGGCATCCGACTCTATTGTCGGGATTTTACTTTGATAAAACTCGCACTAGCTGAAATACTGAACTTCCCTTTTCGTTGCATCCATTTATGCACCAATGAACCGTAGCTCTGATTCACTGAGAGGCTCCTACTGAAAACTAGCCATCCTCTTGTCTGCTACGAAGGGGTGGGACACGATTATAATAGCGTAGGTAGGTCACCTCTGGTCATCTGAGGCACGCCTAGGTGATATGTTCAGTCTGCACGAAAACCAAGATGATAACGGTGAACGCATTGTGTAACCTTTTACTGACCAGTGCTATTGGGTTTAGATGCAGTGCTAAATAGCATCCCCCTACCGCTGAGAAATCTTTGAGTCAAATTGATTACGTAACCATCAGCTACCGATGGCGTGGCTCAGTTCTTTATTACCAGTCATTCTGGAGCACCAAGTTGATTCAAATGAAGCCCTTGTTAGGTGCAAACTTTCACTGAGCTCTTCCAGTAAACCCCAGAGACGAAGTGAAAATTCAGTAGCGGAAAATGTTTGTAAGTCACTAGGTTAGTTGACCCTTTGTCCGTTCACTTGCATCTTTCACTTCACCAGTTCAATATGAGCCGTGGTTAGTGGGTGAAAAAGTACTAATAGACATTTCTATCTTGAAACCCCATTGAGTTGATGGGCCAGCTGGGATCCCTCCGGGCTTGTTCAAAGATCTTGGAGAATCTTTGTGTTCCACTTCAACTATGATTTATTACCCATTCGGGAGCGATAGCGTGTTCTACAAAATCGAAGCCAATTTCGTTCATATCAGTGTTCATTAGTAGTTCAGTGTACATTAGTAGAGTGTTTCAACCACAGATTATGGATCTCACGCCTGTCTTAACACAGTTACTGGTTTACTCTACATTGCGGCATCTACTGAAGGCACGTAAGAAGCAAGTCTGTGAGCATCAGGTAGGATGTCGTCCTGGCAGGAGATGAAATCGTCATATCTTCATACTACACCAGTCAATTGAGCAGCACCACACATATCACTAAACAAAAGACGTGGATTTTCTATACTTTGAAGGTGCCTTCGATTCTGTGGATAAATCTGCTCTTTTATATATTCTTAGCCAGAAAGGATGCATATGAAATTCGTAAACATTACTTGTTCCCTGTATTCCTGACAAGCAAAAAAATGGAGTTTGTTAAGGCTATTTCCACTTTCCCTTTTTGTACCCCCTTGTTATAAAAATAGAGTGGCCGACGCAAGAGATCATGAATTTAGCTGTCGAAGTCACGCCTGGTTTATTAGAACGACATCGCTTTGCATCTTGATGATTATTTAAACACTGCAGCGGATGTTGCTGTACCTCTTAGCATGTAACTTGCATCCTCAAAGTCCTGCCTCAAGATATCCCAGTTTCGTGATTCTCTTAAATTTCGGCGGCCACCTACTCCTTGATCGCAACATAACAAACGAAGTCTGTACGCGCTTAACGAAGACGTTAGTGATGTCTGCAAACTTCCCGCTGTTGTGGAATCAGAAACGAATATTACTGGAGCTAAAGGGTCTTAGTTATATCTGCTGATTCGTCAGTCTGTGGTATCTGCTGCTGACCCGCTCCAGTGCCTAGTGTCAGAGAGAAAGGACTCACAGAAGGGAACACAACAGCTGTATTCCGAACAAGTGAGTCCAATCCATGTCGACCTCCTACTTGAGTTTCAGGTACGCTGAGCCTGTCCACTTGTGCATTCATATTTCCGGCAACCACCACGATGTGTGAGCTTTTAGCTCGCCGCAGCAGGGCATTCAGGACGTCAGAAAACCTGTCTGTGACGGCGTCGGAGCTACAGTCAGTTGGGGCGTAGGCAGACACGATTTACAGACATCTATCAACCTCATGCTTGTGAGACTCCTTCGCAGACTTTGCCAGACAAACCGCACAGAAGCGACTGTCAGTAGGTATCCAGTCCAGCAAGGATTCTTCCGCCCGGTGACTTAGGACGATGCCAACCACTGCACATCCCGCTGCAGCAGCCTCTGGATCACCAGGGGTGCGTAGCCCGAAGCGAGTGGAGACTGATGGGGCGGTTAGCTCAATGTGCGTGCTTGCATCTTGAATTCTTGTTTCTGAGACAAGTAGACATTAATGCCGAGCGAGTCCAGTATGAGAGCGAGAGCAGCTTGTTGTCCTGCTTTCTTCAGAGTGTGCACATTGAAAGCGGCCGGATAGGTGGGGTATCGAAGATTGATACGGAGATGTCTGAGGATGTCGGCGCCGGATGACGCGCAGGTGTTGCTTTCAAACCAATAGAGGACGAACGGAGTGATCAGTCTTTAGTGATGGGCCTTCATGGAGAGGGTTATCACTGGGGTGTGGAGAGGAGAGGAAAAAGTATTTGAAAAAGAAGGAAAGGTGGCGTCAGCAGTAGCCTGTTCTCCCCCCCCCCCCCCCCGCTGTATCCACCAAGTAATGCGGCCTGGCTGACGGCACCACACAACGGCCGATGTGGCATGAGTTTATATGTATTTGTGCAATTCATGTTTGTACGTCGGCTTGGATAATGCCAGGGCGCTCACACCTGGACAGGAGTGAAATTAGGGGGCCTCAACCGGAGACTTTGGCTCGAAACCCTGACTGCAAGACAGCAACTGCGAGTGCTTTACCAAGTACATTACCATTTTTTAGGGAAAACGTCGCCATATGTATTCCGATTTCCAAAATGATGGACCACGATACCTCCAATCACTGACCAACCTGCGAGTGTCCAGCGGACACCCCCATCATAGCTCAGTGGGTCACCGAGGTATGCAAACCGTTAAACCACGGTAAGGGCCAGTCTCTTCGTGACTGTGATGATGAGTCGTCGGCAATCAAATTGCCCAGTTCAGCGAACAAACTAACGACCGTGCTCAGATGTGCTTATTCCAGTGTCTTTTAAAGGTGCAGGCACTATCCTTAATCATTTCCCTTATGGACACAGAACTTTTTCGCATTATGTCCTACGTTCCTCTTTCCTTATCAATTTTCATTGGGGTGTGCCTACTTGCTGGCTGTATGGAATTTGGGCGTCATTGTGCATTGGTGGTTAGTTTCTGCTAGTGACGATGTTGATGACTGAGATATTTTACTTACCACTTTGGCTCTTATGTTTAATTAAATTTGCTTAATATACAACATCAATTCCACGAACCGTGCCTTTGTTCAAAAAACGTTCAAGCGGCTGCTATGTGCACTCTATTGGATAGTTGCTTTCGATGCGATATTTTTGATATTTCCGAAGCTTTGTTCACTTGACTGCTTAAGGCGTTTGCATTTGCAACCTTCGGTTTGACCAAGAAGTGAGATTTACCTCTAGGAAAGCTATGGCCCGGAAACCTACCGCCTGGCTAAAGTTGATCTTTACAAACACGGAGATTTTTTAGCTAATGTGATTTGCGATCCAAAAAGGAATGTTTGTAACAAAATTTTTCAGGCTCTGGAATTAACTTTTTCTATTTTGCAGACTTCACCTCTGGGTTTGAGATCACTTTGTGCATGACTTGTGCCTTTCTTCAGCATTTACTATGTAGTAATATACATGTGATATAAAATGACATTTGTCTTGCGATCTGTTTACAGCCACCCACTTTGAACAAAACCCGATGGCACCACAACAGTTTATTTCCTCTACCCACTCGGTGTACGCTTAAACTCGCGATCCTGTTCTTCACTATCTACAATTCCATCTCCTGAAGACCTGATGGATTGATCCGCAATTCCGCACCCGTGCGGAAGTCATTCCGTTTTACCCATTTTGTGTTCCTGTTTCCTCAAACCGTCTGTTGTCTTGGCCAAAAGACAACGACACCGTTGAGTCTTTCAAATCAACTTCAAAGTCTTTACCGTCGACTCGGCAACAATTCATGAAATGCACACTCAACTCTACCGGTATGCGACAGAGTTCAACAACTGTACTTCTGACACGCTTGCGCGTGCCTCTCCTGTGAGAATGGAGAGCGACATCCTGCTTGGCGTGCTTTTTCGTCAAGCACAAACGCTTTAGTTCCTTCAACTTGACAAACTCCAAACCGCTTGGATTTCGATCGAGAAAAAAAACTTCGATTTCCTATGTGGTGTCTCACTCCAAAAAAACAAATAAACTACAACCTTGGACGGTTGTTTAACGGAAGTCGTTTGATTTGTTTATTCTTTCCGACCGGAATACTGAAGCCATCACGGCTGACTAAACAAACAAACAAGGCGAATAAGGTCGAAATCTGAAAAGTTAGTTGCTAGAGGAGGTTTCCATATTTCTGGATATATTAAAAACCATTTCGCCATATGTAGTGCAAGTGACTTCATGTCGTTTATCCGTACGTGAGTTAGAGCAGTGCCTTACTAACCGTTCCTAAGGACGGTCGACCATGCCATCCCAGTCAGTTCAACGCACAACCAAGAAAACGCACCGCAGTTAACCTATTCAGAGATAAGAGGCAAGCATATAGTCAGGTCGCCTTGAATGTTTTTGTTGAAGGACACTGTGTCTCTGGAAAATCCAAATCACCGAAGGAACCCACATGAAACGGCGGTAAAGTAGTTAGGGGATGAGCAGAGACAGTAACATCAACGTTGGGCTGACGCTTAACTGTCGTTCAACCACAAAGTTGGCTTAATTAGATTTAAGGCTTTAAGGCTAAAAAGGGGAGGGTGGACGGAATATACCTGATGCTAGCCTGCGTCGAAAACTCTGAGTTGCCTGCACCTCTTACCACCCAGTCAAACAAGATGGATGGATACTGACAGCACGCAGGCCATTGAAATCGGTTAGCCACCATTTCTTGCAAAGTCCCCGGCAAAGGACAGGGAGACGCGGAGTCCTATCCTGGAAGACGGATCGCAATAACAATATTCGAGCTCTTAATAATCCATTTTACATCATTCTTTAGTCAAATTTGCCCAAAGTAGGCTTGCAGGACAACATTTTCTCTCCGTAGACGGAAAGCGTAGCGTATGACCGAGCCGCCGCAGTTGGTAGTGTTGAATGTTTTCAAAACCGACGTACCTGTTTTGCCACGCTACGAATTCCTCGACACCAGAAAGGTGTCTGCGACACATCTTAGATCTTATTCCCCCGGAAGCCATGTCTGGCAACCAGACAGCAGCACAGCACTGGTGCGGACGACACTTGTTACCTAAAATATTCTGCCCAGTGATCCAAACCCTTTCTTTGTTGGGTCTCAGGAAACAAAAATGTGCTCAACGGGTGACCTCGTATACAAATACGGCGCTAAGAATGGTGATATCTGAACTGATTCGCGAGTCTCAAATGTAAAGTTCGGCGCTGTAGTAGAATATTGTCTCACAGATGAATTGGACTGATTCAGCGAAAATACATCTTCGGTCATACTTGAATAGATATTACTGGTAGTTTTTAGTTCACGTTCCTAACCTCTAACCCTCCAAGAAACAAAATAGTAATAAGAAAAATTAAACCCTAGTACAAGTATTAAGAAGTGAAGAGCTCTTTCTTAGGTACAACAGGTGGAATAAATATGAGCTAGATAGAGTTTAGGGAGTTTAGGAATCTCGGAAACCGAGAAAAAGGACAACAAGCAAACGAAGCTGATAAAACAATCATGCAACATGATGGAGGTGTGCGCCAGTTGTGAGAAAAATGAACGGTTATTTCAGAACGGTGAACTACCTGTCATTTAGGATGGCTTGCTTCAACTTATTTGATTGAAGGAGACCATCAGAAACAAGTTCAGCTGGATTCAGTGGGGTCTCTCATCTAAACCAAATTCCTATGCGAATAACCGTATCTGGCGCAACTATTGTTTCATTTAGCTAGAACTTAACGACAGACCTATTCATGCCTAATGAATATAAACAAGTCATATTCATACAAGCCGATTGAATCCAGTGTCCATTCCTATTGAACAAAACTTCTTAAGCACCGTATGTGAAATAGCTCTGACAGAATCAATATTGCTGCTGATTCTTCGCAGTCAGACCTAAGACACACTCAGCTGACATAGTTGGAATCTTTTGGGCGAACATAAAAACATTTATCGATTCCAAGGCGCAGTAAGCTCAGTAAACTCATTCGAAGCGGTAGCGAGAAAAAAGAGAATCAGTTGTGAAATGTCAGGTCAGATTTCAGATCTTATTTAACTGTCCGTGCTAAAGTGAAAGTAAAGCGAGTGCTGAGGATGGATGCAGGACAACTAAGACCACTTAAAGATAACCCATCAATGCATGTGATATGATGGTTCAATCGCCTAAACACGCTTTATTTCTATATCCGTTGATTCCTCCCAGAATTTTAGGCTACTGACAAGTCAGTGGATCGGAGTTCAAACTCATCTCGCGACAGCTTACGACGCCCGCAGATATCGGATAAAAGGTTGACTGAAACTTGAAACCCCTGTGCCTTCTCTGCGTACAAAGTAAGATAATGTATCTCCAGAGGTTTTTAAATGGCTTCATTCCTCGTTTGCGAGAATAAACTAAGTGAAATTAAAGCCGACTACATGGTACTCGCTGTTTCCAAGATGTCCCATTCGCCAAGGCCTATGTATGCACCGTGACCTAAAAGATAAAATATACCTTTCCTTATTAAAAGGTCCGAGCAAAAGCTAGAACTATCAAAGATATGCTGCAAAATACTTTTAAGGCACCTCAATAGAAATTTTTTAACCGGAATGATAAGATGTTTTAATATAATTTGGTGGTGTCACAGCTGATGTAAAACTCTTTGGTTTTCCAGCAGTCAAGCTCAGTACATTCTGCGATATCCCGAAAATAAGCCAATTTGATTAAGTACTTCTATCAAATAACTGCGGGCTGAAAATAGATTTTTTAGTACCCTCCCTTCGGTAGACCTCCATGGGATCCACCTAAATCGCTCTTCAATGCCAGACTTCTCTCCACGAACTTTCCGGCTTTGTTGAAATCGTGCGCGTCCAAAATGAATCCATAAAGTGCTTCATTCTCCAATTATTTCCGAAAAAATCGGTCCTATTTTTAGTCCGAAGTCAGTTTTGAAAGCGATTTGTTCTTATCTTGCGTCTATTTTGTTAAGTTGAGTTGAGTTCTGGCACAGTTTGTGAATATTTCCCTCACGCAGCTGGTTTACTACTGCTTATATTGAGTCATTCGGATTCCTGTACACTAATAACACTCAAAGGATCGAACATACGAATCAGTACGCCACAATGCCCAACTTGTAACAACACTGCAAACCTACTGCAATCGCACAAGCGTACATACTCTTGAAGTGACATAGCATACGCGTTTGATAATAACCTTTGCCTTTGAAATCAATCTAATTCAAAAAGAGAATAGTAATCCTTTCGCTAGTCATAGGCCACCTGCCCGATTTACCGAAAGACAAAACCGTTACACTCCATGCATAAAACACGGGTAGATGAAGTAAGGTCATCAGAGGAATTGATCCCGCGGATTCACAAGGCGCAAAAGGTTAAAATTAGAAGGCGAATATGGAAAGGCGATAGGGCCTGCATTGAAAGACAGTAGTGTTACAGGGGAGGAGGACAGTGGCTCATCGTCTTTGGGCTTTGAACCATAAGTGAAGGATAGGATAATGTGCAAAGCAGCCGAGTAGAAAAAATGAGGCATTTGAGCGAATTGAAGGGACAACATATCGTCTGGTTATTTTACGGGTTTTTTTTCGGCTAAAAGCGACAAGTGAAATCAAGGCGGAACAGCACCAGCTTCCGATCATCTGAAAACAGTGGAGCCCGTGCCAGGGCAAACTTACCATGCTTTATTTAAAGTCAAATCAACCAGAAGTTATGGGCGATGGGAACATCTTGTCGCGTGCCAGCAACAAGATCAACATCATTTACGACAAGGGAACCGAAAAGCTGCAGCAGGATAGTGCAACCGGTAGTCGGACTTTAGAATCAGAATCTTGAGTGATTTTAGACCACGTTGTTTAGCTGTGGGTTTCAAATGGGATTATATCCTCCAAGTGGAACTAGTCTATGCCGTAAAGCTGAAGAGCATTGTACGGCTGTAACTTTATTGCTAGCAGTCATCAAACATAGTATCACTTTATACAGCATGCCGTATGTGCTTATATCTGTATTCAGTAAACTGCAGCATCGCCGTACTCAGCGCATTGATTCAATCCAGATGTGAAAAAAGGTTTCCTCTTCGGAAAGAATTTTGTGTAAATAAAACTAAGGCAAAAGGACAGTCAATAAGAGTAAAACGATATCTAAACTCTTATGGGACACTGGTTACGTCCCAGGTCTCCCCGTGGCTTTTGGTGCTATTTCTGTTCACAAGCGCATGCATACGACCCCGATGGCGAAATTTGTATCCTCCAGTGTGTAAACACATTTCTGGTGCATAATGACCAATCTCGCATTAGCCACTTGATAATTTAGCCTTCTGATTCGACTCTGATTGCACTTCATTCTACGCTGTGTATGTATAATACATTGCTTTTGCGTTAATATCGCAACACTTTTCACTTCGAGGCTGAGGCCCACACTCATGGTTGATTTGCTCTGCGTGCCTTTTATCTTGTGATTTCACGTGATTTGTGAGCCTGTACTTTGAAAAAAAATGTAGTTCCTGCTTATCTGAATTCCATACGCGAACCAAAAAGAGCTTGACACTACTTTTCCCTACCACTGAGGAATTACAGGGTAGTTTCAAGACACATTCCGATATATATACAGACGAAAGTTAAAGGAAACAATAAGTCACACCGGAATACATAACACGGTAACGGCAGGTTCAAGATATTGGAATGCAGACCAACAAAGTGACGAAATGGTAGGAGAGTGGTACCGGGGTTTCAGGCGACTAACAAACGAAATTTAACGCCAAATTCTGCAAGTGTTATCCTTGGACCCTGTTATTATCGTATCGCCTTCGTAATTAAACGCACAGCTGAACACTTCATCTGTGTGTCCTACAAGAATATCTTTCAGTTGTCCAGTTTCGGCATCCCACAGACGGGCAGTCTTATCGGCGCTGGCGGTCAGTACCAGTGTTCCACGGGAGTTAAAGCAGACCTACGGGTAAAGCAAATATAAAAAGGGTCGAGGATATCGTACATTAGAAATGTAGCATTACTTATACAAGCGGCTACCAGCATTGTTAAACTGTTAAACGCAAAACAGTCAGCAAACTCGAGATGCCCTGCCATGAACTGCAATGTAATCATTCAAAAATTATATCTTGAATGGTGAATTAACGAATTGTGGTTGCGAAACCCATACCGAAGTCTATAATGACTTCAGTAGGACTTGTGGAAAATAACCTGTTCACCCTTCTTTACGGTTGGAAGAATTAGTTCTGCATGCCTTAGATCAGCGTTGATTTGAAATTCAGAAGTTTCAAAAAGCCGGACATCTAACCAATGGTCCCAATATTTATGGAATTTACCCCATGAAAATGGCGTTCTCAACGTACGAAATAGCAGGCAGTAGCATACATCAAAAAACAGATTAAAGATACGGTCATCGAAATTCCCAAGTTGCCCAAATATACAGACCATCGGGGACGTTTCGCAACCAAACAGAACCGTTTTGTCACAGCAGTCTTCAATCGCAGGTGAAGGAATAGATTAGTGAATTTACTTTTTGGCCGTGCCCTCGAGTTTGCGAAACCGTCCCGAGGTCGTACGTGCTCCATAAGCGTAGAGAATATGAATAAATATCTGTCATTTGGCCTTTTCACAATATCTTGACCCTGTGTCTATGAAAAATTTTGGGATTAGGGCGTTCTTATAGTGGCCACCACGCTAAATAACTGAAAGCAGTTACCCTAGAACGGTGGACTCTGAAAGAGATATTACAAACCTACCCAGTTATGCAAAAAAGTAAATCCTAACTAACAAATGCGTTTAGTTTTCATTGTTGGAGTGTAAGTACCTTAACTGTTTAGTGCGAAAAGTATATCGGGATAATATCTATGTACACTATTGTTAACAGGTGTAATGTGTCTGCAGGACAGGGATTCAAACCATCTGCTCATTTAGGTATGCATCGTTTCGGTACATAGTGCTTTTATCCAGTTGTTAAAAACAAATGAGAAGGACCTCATATCCTGACCTAGGGAACAGCATATATATGCGATGTTTTAAGCCACAGATTTATCATGATGAATGGAAACACAAATAATATCTTCACGAACTTTGCTGACTTCGCCATCGTGTCCTGTAAGGTGAGCGATTTCACGGTAGCCTCTATTTGGACCACTGCCACGCAGATCCCAGACGCGTGATGTACTGTCCGCACTGGCACTAACTAAGCGTCGTCCACTGGCGTCAAAAGTAACATCCAGTACTTCGTCCAGGTGACCTGTAAGGACGTGCAACTGTCGACCAGTCCGAGTGTCCCAGACCTATGGTGAAACAAGTGTGTTGAACTACTCGGAAGTCAAGTGACGGACGTGCAACTGTCGACCAGTCCGAGTGTCCCAGACCTATGGTGAAACAAGTGTGTTGAACTACTCGGAAAGTCAAGTGACGTTTGCTTGTTAATGCATAAACACCATCTTACCATCTTCTAATTATGAAGACTTTTCTTTTACGTAAGAGAGTTTGTCTATGTGCTGTCCTGTGAGGCAAGCTACTTACGCGTACTGTCTTGTCCATGGAGGCTGTAGTAACGAGGCTGGCGTCAAAGCTGAACGCGGCCGCAGCAACTTCAGCGGCATGCCCTATTAAGTGATGGGTTCTCTCACCAGAACGAACATCCCATAGAGAAACTGTGTGATCAAAGCTTCCGGTGAGCATCAAACGTCCGGCTCCAGCTCCGCAAACTGTATCACTATAACCGCCACTGTCTCCTTCCGACGAAACCGATGAGCCTTGGGAAAATTGAAGGGCGATCACTTCTGCAGTGTGACCACTCAAGCTTGCCAGTTCCGTACCTGTTTCTATATCCCATAATTTTGCTAACGTGTCCATACCACCTAGAATGGAAATTGAAGATATGGTGTTAGGTAGCTGGTCAGTTCATCAGTCAATCATTCACAATATCATTTAGACAGCCAACTGTTTAGTCGGTTTGTTGTTTGGTTCGTTATCCAACAAGCTAGCTAGCTCATTAGTGGAACACAGGCGCATTAGGGTAAATTGCATGAAAATGTTAGCCAAAGAAAAAGGCGCTGGAGTGCAGAAAAATGGCATATTCCTTAACTTACAAAGACCCGCTGGTGAAGGCTCCGTATTTTCATTTATCTTAGCATTGCTCCATTTTTTCGGACTTGTCTGTGGTCAAAAAACCACGTACACGAGGGTCGGTTGCAAAGCGTGCATTAGAAATCGCTGTCATCTTTGTATAAATCATTCCAAGACTCATGTGTCTGAAGCACTTACTTTTGGCACTTTCCATGACCCCTTTCTATGCACTCTCAAGCATCCACACTGGCTCTAAGTTGGTTCGAAGCTGAGGGTCAATATCTTGCACAGTGACCATCCTATCACTCATAGTACCACTGGTAACTTCCAGGTCCGCAAAGGCGGGATGTTCACAATAGGCTAGTTGCCGATAAGAGTTCTGAAGAGAAGGCTTGATTCTGTATTGCGTGGTCCGTCCATCCAGATTTTTTACCACATCTGGTTGCTGAAGCACACATCCGTCACCGTCAGACAGATGTTTCGACTAGGCGATGAGCGACCAAACGGTGTGTGATTTAAAACAACTGTAATTCGACCACCGAGTTCATTCAGACCGTTGTTGTGGCCTATTGCAAGGTTGTTTGTGCTGTATTGGAATTTAATAGAAGCAGTTTGAAGAAATAACGGATTTTGCTAATAGTTTTCCCCCTCTAGAGAGAACGCCGCTAATAAGAGTACCTTCGGTTGGCCCTTTCAACAGTACCTTTGGGGAGATGACGCTAAGAGAATTGTGATGGATAGATGTTCAGATGAGTTTTTCTCAGAAAAAAACAATTCATTTGACTACATTGGATCACAAGTAGCGCAACCGCAGTTTCAGGCACTCATATTGATGTCTAGTCAAGAAAGAAGTCCACACCAGAAGGAAGTTCGTTGCCCAGTGCAACCTTATGTTAGGTATTTTAAAGAATGAGCGCGAATATTCACCAAACCCTAAAAAAGAGTGTTCACTGAATACCTTCTTAATATTGACGCTATAAGTAAAATCAGCACTCAAAGAAAGGAGTAGCGTCAATAGGACAACCCAGTTATTTCAGCTGGTGTACACAATGCTTCATTTGGATGGTGATTTTGAGGAGGGTGGTTCCCACACAATTGACAGCAAGAAGCTAAAGTCCTCTTAATGATCCATGAATCCTGACCGATTCACAGTCACTGCGAATGAAGCCAGTATGAAAGCTACATATAAAGTTAGTCCTTATTCGTCTAGTCTTGCTGAACTAATCACAGTGAGCAAGAGTTTTGGCCCAACTAGTGTGAAACGCCTGGTAAAGATATGACCACACGACACTTATGGATCAAAATCAGCGTTTATCAGATGCTTGTCAGTGCCAATACCTAATAATAAAAGATATAACCTCAAAAATCTCCACTTTAGTTTTGGGAATTGAATTACGTAGGATTCTGACCCCACTATTGGATAAGGATTATGTACCGTAAATAGGAATACATACTATAAGTAGTATCTGTAAGTGTTACTCTCCTGAGTCCCACAAGACCCAAGTGCAACTGATGAGTAGGAAGAGGCAAAACAGGCTCATCTCTGTGTATTAATAAGGTTTAACTTGGGCGCGCCGTATCCCTACTTTACTACGGCACGTGTAAAAACAGGTTCGTTCTACTGGTCGCTTTTTACGTCAATCGTTATTGATTGATCGGCTGCGCAAGCCTCCGATCGGGCGAGCGCCCTCGAAATCGCAATCGAGAGTGGCAATATTCACGATCAGAAGTACAACTACTAGTCTGCTGATTCCCGTAGTCATCCAGATAAGTTATGGCCCATGAACTTTAATTTCAAAATCACTTGTTAGTAATCAGACGCAACAGAATTCAAAAGTCAAAAAGATTTGATCTAGCGAGATCTGGCGAGTAGCATGTTCCGTCTAGAAGATGCTTTGCGAAATCTCGAGTATAGTACTAACCAAAACAATAAGCGGGTTTGTGCAGCATGTTCAGCTGAGGAGCATCATAATCGGAAGTTTCATGTGGGATTCAGTTGAGTCACCCCTTAGTCCCAAATTAGTTTGCAAATAAGCCCACTTCACAAATGATGTTCATTTGGACTAAAGTAAAACATGAGTTTGACGGAAATTCGGAGACTCGATAAAACCAACCCAATCGTAGGCTGTCAAAGAGCTTACAGCAAACTTGTAAGTATTGTTTTCCACCTGTGAACTTGACTCAAATAAGTTAATTGTTCTTGTTTGTCTACCTTAAGGAAAACAACAAGCATTGATTTGAACCCACTTATTCACCATTTTGATATGGAAAAGAGGTTCCATGTAACAAGTTTCATTCACAACACGCTGCTAGAACGACATCCGGAATAAAATACAAAGTATCCAGTTTGTGAAAAAAATCTCAGCAGATACTAAGTTCAAGTGGTCACTACGTTTATACTCTTGCCGAACAGAAATCAATTAGCAAATTCCTCGGTTTCGGTCGATTTTTTAGAAACTGCCCTACAGTCACAACGGTTCTCTTCAGACCAAATATAGCACCGTGCACATAACGAATATTTTGTCCATTGTTTGTCTGCCATAACCGTTTCACGCCTTCATGTAAGTCTAGTAAGATCGCCTTCATTACTATTTTCTTTCGTCCTGATCATCCTCAGCCTTACCGTCATCACCAATAGCTGTTAATCGCGTCTGTAGGTAAGTGAATGATGTTTCCATTCTTGTAATAAGCAAGAACAAAGACGAAGCTAGTGAAATTAGAGGAGGAATGATAGAACAATTGAACATGAAACATCCTAAAGGAAACTACTCACAAGGTTGCTGAAAACTCTTCGACAGCCCACGACCGCTTTCGTCCTTCTTGGGGCTCATCAGGTAGGCGCAGTCCCCGAGTTTCCGTCAACCCTAAGTTCTACTTGAACACCAATTAGACTGTTTTCGAGAAATACACTCATTTGCATATCAATTTGGTTTTCACGAGTGACTCAACTGAATCTCTCCTTTATGATATTCTGCAACTGAATGTGCTGCACACAGGCCACCTCATGGTCGTGAGCTGTCGACGAGCTTTCAGCAACCTTGTGAGTAGTTTATTTTATGAGAACATCCTAAATTCACCCACCGGTCTATGGATGCAGGCTTGACTGTGATTTAGTATGAATAATAGTAAGCATGAATTTGAGCATACTAGGTTTTTTAGCAGTTGGATGGTGCTCGAGACTGATCGATTAGTCATCCCTTAAGACAGGTCTGGTAAGAAATTCTAAAGGTTTACTCATGGGCAAGGTTTTGCTTTTGATACAGAAGCTTCATCAGACCAACCGAATAAGTTACCTTATCAACCAGATTTTAAGACAGATAGAAAGCCTGTCAGTGGGATCTTTTTGTACCTGCTAGGCTTAAAGGGTGACCCGAAGTTTTTTTTGTTGTATTGACGACTAAACTTACGACTAATGAGTGAGGAAGAACTTAACATCAGTTCACAATGGGTTCGAGACCATGGTTCTCAGAGTTATAACGTTTATGGTTTTCGTCCACAAATTTTCTGCATCTGGACTGGCAAGTTTTGGAGGTATTAGGCAACATATAGCCGTAACGTGTCAACTCGGCCAGTCCCAAACGGTTATCAGAAGACCTGTCAGCTCTAAACCCTCCGTTATCTTCACGCTTGTATTCTTAGAGATGTCCAACACCTCCGCCCACTATTTACCGTCATGTGAAACTTGGTCCTCGCCTCAAAACTTTCACATCTTCCAAATCTCTTATATACCCAGTGTTTCAAGCTTGCCCCACCGTTGCTGCGACTTTACCTGTCATCTGGTATTCATCTGGATTTTTTGGTAATTTCTTCATGTGGCGCTAGTGGTAAAAATTATGATGTGCACTTCCTGGCTGTTTTCCCTTTGTAATCTCCCATGCAGTCGTTACATTTTATTTCTAAAGACTTTCCCAGTGTCCTATCAGCAGGAGAGTGATCCTTCAGTTACTCTAATACTGAGCGTAAAACTCTTCGCCCCCCCTTGGAATGCCACTCTTATTTTATCCATATTCTTTTCTTATAACTCCTTTCTTATAACTCCAAGTATGAACTGATCACTATCGATTTGCTCACTGTCGGGTCCCTGACACAGGTGAATACCTACTTCATATACCACTTAGTTGAACTCACTGGATATTAAATTCCTTAAAGTATCTTTTTTACCTCATTAATGGTAACTTCAGGTCGACTCGTTTTGTGCAGTTTTGGTACAGTGTTGAAACTATGCTAACATGTACCGTACCCGGATCGGTCAGCGAGTAGTTTACGAAGTCATCAGCGTTTTTTATTCTGGTAAATAATTGTTTCTAATTTTTCACCACCAAACCAGACTTTATACAGGTACTCTACAGTCATTGACATATTCAAGATCCCTATGACGTGGACAGACATTCTCCTGGGTTTCCCGTTGAGACAGAGTAATTTCCTGTTAGTTCCAATGTCGGCTTGATGTATACAGGCGTTCCTAAGACAAACGCTCTCAAGGGGGGAAAGCGGTTGCTACTGGTTGACACCAACCTGCGTAAACGGGCGCAACTGATTGTAAGCGAGTTAGCTGAAGTAGCGAAATAGGTTTAAATTCCGGTCGTTTTATCTTTAAGAAAGGAGTGTACTCCCGTTGACAAGTTCTGGTTACTGGGTCCTCAACAACCACGGTTCTGGCTAATATGCATGTACATGACTTCAAACAGGAAGCTTTAGCTGGATTCCAGTGAGCAAAAATGACATGCCGGTCGTAATCAAGCCTGATAATGTCAACGAATTCTAGCAACCTTTTAATACCTTGAATCCTGACATTAGTTTCAGCATGGAGCTAGAATCCACTTTGACTACACCGCCTTTTCTGAGCTGCACCTATAGGATATGCTATAGTAACGGGAACGAAATGCCATGCGCGGATGAATCTCTCGAAAACGAAACACTTTTAGCTACATCTACCTAGCCCATAATCACTAGTGATAGGAGTCCCACATCCCATACGTTTCACAATGTCTCATTATCCGTTATATCCTGTTCAACCCCGTTTTATCTTCATCATCTTCTCTCCCAAATTACTGAAAATGTTTCGTGACTAGCACAATAATTTGCAGGGAAAGCTTGGTAGTTGACAGGGTTACCTATCCTTGATTGAAGCCCAGGTATGAAATAAAAAAGCTGATGGAAACTTGGGGACCCCACGTACCTAAGAAGAGCAAAAGTTAGTGATAGGTTGTCGAACATTTACGTAAACTACTCCATAATTTACCAATAAGGTTATGCAAAGAAAGTATGCGTCGACTAAAAAGGTAAGTGTCTTGGAAAAACCGACCAGAGGGAATTCGTGCCGCGAAATTCACGAATCCCAGAAGATTTGTTAACCCAAATTATCAAACAAGTGTCACCGTAAAAATGGGGAGAAAATACGTTGGTTAACCGGGGAGACAAGTTGAAATGATAGGCAGTAATTTATCGGACACCGTGACTTATGACAGACGAAAAACTGCCACAGACTTCACAAAAACGAACATATATGTGTGTACAGTTGAACTGCTGTATATCCCAGCCTAGCCTATAAAAGGCAAAACACCTACTAACCATGGATGTCGAGGTATGAAACTGGTGCTGAATTCACTATATCAAACTGGTCAAGTAGCCGGTCGACTGGGTTCATCTTAGTCAATTATAGTCTATTTGTGGCTACCAAAAAGGAGTTCACAAATGCTTGATTCACCGCTCCTATGAGGGGTCGTCCTGTGCAAGGGCATATATGTGATCCTAAGAATATTGCACAACTCACCAGTTGCCAGAATGGTGCTAACCGGATTGAACTGTAAGCAGACCACTTCCGCCGAATGTGACTGAAACACATGGTGGCACTCCCCAGTTTCTGCACTCCATAAGCGGGCGGTTTTGTCGAACGAACCCGTAGCGATTTTGTCTATAGGCGAAAAAACTTCTTACATGATTGTGAAATGTCGCAGAGGTAAATATAGCTCCTGACTAGTTATTGTAAGAATTAATGTCGGAAATTTAGACTGCTCTATTGACGACTAGTGGTTGTATCTGCCATATCGAAGTTACTTGACCAATTAATGAGCATCGTCTCTATGTGCTGTCTTTCAGCACGCAAAACATATATGGAGACAGTAAGTTGATAATTTAATCCAATGATAATGTTCAGTAATTTAATACCTATTTTTACCTGTGGACAGTGAACCCAATTTATCTCCCCTAATTTCAGTAATCGTTTCTCTTAGGTACCGCGGCCATACACTTTTCCCATACGGGAAACAGAACCTGTTGGTGATCTCGTCATCTTTATAACCTTTCCAAGTCCACTTGAGAGTCGACTTGTGAGCTCAGCTGAACACTTCCGACTCAATAATAAAAAACCAAGTCGGGTGTTTGATCTTAACCTATGTTAACGTAGAGCCATTCTCGGTTTTCCGTACGCGAACGTATGGTTAGTGGTTGAGGCTTTCTCCGTCCGGCCAAGTGTCATATCAGCAGTGTGATTAGCTTCCACCCGGAACTAAACATCCTAAAACCAGTGAATAATCATGAGGTTCAAAGTTGACATAACTTCTACAACTTGGCTCCTCATGCTTTAATAAAGCAGCGATTTGCAAGATATCAATGAGAAAAATCAACTAAGCTCACCAGAGAAGGGGAGATTAAATGCGATTGCGTAAACCACGTTCCTGTGACCTTCCAATGTATGAACCTCCTCACCGGATTCTGTTTGCCAGATTTTGCATGTTCGGTCGTAAGAGCCCGTGATAAAACTTGAGAGGTGAAAGGGAGGATAGTTGTAAAGGGATTGTTTTAAGCGACGTCAGCTTTACGCGGTTCATCTGTCAACAATGTACTCAATGACCTCACCACTTTAAAAGCCCGCATCTTACTACCTACAGTTTGCAATTCCACAGTTTGATGACAATGGGTCACATTTACTCTTTGCCAGCAGTGCATTCGGCTTTTATCAGCTTTCCCTAGTTTCCTGGTGGGCATCTCAATTGATAGAGATACGAGTGCCTGAATAACTCTTCTTACGATAATACCTGATGGGATTTCTCGCCTGCTAGAAATTTTTCCAATGGACTCCATCTTGTTTCTCCCTCAGAAGGGGATGAGGAGTTCGAATGCGTGAACACAACTTTGTGCACAAAAGGAACTTGTACAACCTCTGAACTAGTTCTGTACAGAGGCCTGTTCGTGCTCACCTGTAGAGGTAGACTGTGGGATACAGAGTGCTAAGCTCGCCACTGTGTTGTTCCAAGTGGACAAATAACGTGGGACAAAATTGCGCAACTGCCATCTGAATGGCTCCACTGAAGAACGAGATCAGGATGGAAGCACTCAAGAACAAAAGGAAACCTGATCGCACGTCGGACAAGTGGTTTTAGTTCTTTCTGCTTTTGTAGGATTTTAACGAAAATAAAAATAAAGTACGTGGTTCTCAGCCTTGGCTGAAACGCAATGTCTCCAAGGCCTCTAAGTCCGACTAAAGCTTCGAAATACCTATTCGGTGGTTACTCCTGAGAGGGGTCTTCTGCGAGTAATCTTTCTGCGCGGTAATCAGTTGTTTATGGTAGCGAGATTGCTTATACCTCGTACTTTGTGTGACCAAAATATAGGACGGAAACAAAGCTCAACTTACTGACTGCCACTTTTGTTAAAGGCCACATTGGTCAGCGGTAAAATGTGAGCACGCAATACCTAAGAAAAAGGGGGCAATTATTTCTAGTCATCCAAAGCGAGCAATCACCTGGTATGCACCAAATTTTGTCTTATCCACTTTGACTAGTTTGGCTTTCAGTCGTTCAATCAATTCATATACTTGGGGCTTTCTTTTCTCTGTTACAAGCGCCTCTTTCTCACAAATCTCATTCAGTATCTCATCTGTGTTACTCCTAGTACGATAACCTGTAATAAACTTCACGACGCACTTGAAGGTCAAATCGAGCAGATCCAAGGATTTCGTCTTTGTGGTCCCTCCTTGCTCGTACTCTAGAATGATTCCTTGATTACAAGGGTTCGTTCACAGTTAGAATGCAAATGTTACCAGGAGGATAGTACCGCAGTAAGAATCGCCTGAGTTTCATGCTTGTCTTTCAGAGAGAAGGAGTGTCTTGACGAAGTGCCGGTCGAATGGTTCTCTCCTGGAATGACAAAAAAGTTGCATTATTTATTGAAAAAGGTCGTCATTACTATGCGTGACCGGGTGGACACTGGACCGTACTCCAAGTTGATCGACCGAAACTGAATACATTGTTTTGGACACGTTCTCCGCATACCAGGCTCTGAAGTGTTCAGACTCTCCCGGTCGCCACTGACGTGCCAAGAACGGCAAATGACGAAGGATGATTGAAAGCATGGCTCTCAGCAGTTAAGGCCGATATTAAATCACTGAGGTTGCATGTGGTCTACGGCACCAAACAATGAGAAGGAAAGTGGGTGACTACGTGCTCAGACCTTGCTGCTGGTCTGCTTTACAGCAGATCGGAATATTGTCGAAGCCTACGGAGTTTTCTTCGGGAAAAAGCCGCCGTAAGTAATCAGGAATGAGAGTACAGATGACTCTCAATCAACTGGTAACGAATGCCTACCTAAGGCTTTACGACAAACCTTGTCTATTTTGGAGATATATTATTCCGAAGTGATCACTGTTTGTTACAGAGGCCTTGCTTAGTTGCAGGTTTGATTAAAACAAAGCCAGCATAATGCAGCTCCGTTGTTGACAGAACAGTTCCATCATCATAATCATCATCATCATCATCATCATCATCATCATCATCATCATCATCATCATCGACAGCATGACATAAGTGTTCAACACCGATGCTTCACTGCCGTACAACCATGACTTATTTGAAAGCCTTATTGTAAAGAAAAGAGTAAAGGTGGACGGGGAAGAGACTTAGTGCTAACTTACCACAATCATTCCGAGGTGCCTACACCCCCAGACATTCACTCAAGTAATCTGGATAGAAACTGACAACAAGAACGCCACTGACATCGGTTGGCAGCCATATCTTGTAGTGTCTCCAACCAGGCACAGTGAGGATCACGCGGTCCCCATCCTGGGATGCGAGTAGCACCGACTGCACCCAAGCGTTTCGTGATCTCCTTCATACTCCTCTGCCAAGTCAAAGGTTGGCCACCTCTCTGTTTACGCCACTCTGAGTTGGGCATGGAAAACAGTACTCTCTTCGGCAAATGATGGTTCGGCATACGTAACATATGTCCCAACCAACGTAGCTTCTGGTGATGGACACATTCTTCAATGGAAGTACCCGTTACACAACCGAAAACGCGCTTTCTAACTGCCTCGTTACGAATTCGCCGACACCAACCCACACGAGCTATGGTTCTGAGACAACGATTGTCGAACACCTGAAGACGTCTCAGTTCCGCTGCTCGAGTAGGCCAAGTCTCACAGCCATACAACAAAACAGCCCTTAGTGTAGCTTGATGTACACGTCCCTTTTAAAAGTACCACAATCGCAAGGGAAATCCACTTTTAACAGTTTGCTAAAACATCCAAGTGAGGAAAATTTATAATACATTCCTCATTAACTTTTTGCTCTGAAACCATACATTTCCCGGCGTGCTTCACCGTTGGGGCCAATGACTTCTTTGTTTTGGTCTGTACACCACATATAAAATGGCTTATAAGTCATGTTACGTTATCTCTCGCCTTTTGCTCCTCGTTGTGCCAAGACGCACGATCCTTATCTTCAAGTAAGTGACAAATACTTCTGTTAAGTGGTGATCACCGCATAAGCCCAAAAAATGAGGTCAGCTGCAATCAACTATAAACTGGCCACGGGTTATCTTAAGTGGGATTAGTTTGAATGGGAAAACCGAACATCAATCCGTTTAATCTAGCAGAAGAAATGACATTAACCTCGCGGAAGTAACGTACAAGCTTGTATTTTGGCTGATGGTAAACTGTGGATTAAGAGTACCTGGATGTCCTGTTAGCACGAAGAGATCACGGTGAAAAAAATTTGACTGCAAAATCTCTGTATTCAGTTTGCCTATCAGGTAAATTGCCGTATCAATTATGTTAAGCCTTGTGAATAACCGAACCATTTCGTTTCTCAAGTAACTTCTTTTCGTGCATTATCCAGAAGCAGATCATTAGAGCAGCTGTTTCGCCATTACTGCAGGTCATTAGTAGTGATTACGTTGGGGATCGATGCGGGCGTTAAAATTATGTATTTAGATTTCAAGACTCGACTACCCGTGTGGTCAGTCTGAATCTTCAATATTTATATAAGAATCAACTTTTTTCTATATTAAGAGCCTTTGTTCCGACTTTGGTCCATGCCGATCAGATGGTCAGCTCGCTACACCCCACCCAGTCTTCTTTCACTGACCAACGTCACACCACTTGCACAGTGGCTTGAATAAACTCGACTAACTACGCAACATATTCTGGCTATACGGATGGTGACTTTTCATACAGAACGCTGCTTAGAGATCATCGCAATTCCCGACCAAGTGTTAGTCTCGTTCAATGACCCGAAAAGAAAAACTATGTGAGGCACTCGGACGTAATGGTCAGTTAAGAGTTCAGTGTTCCAGTACGGTCCAAGCTGTTCCTAGTCAATGAAAAAGGTTGCACTGTCAGGCAGAGAGTAGATAAGCCACTGTTCTTCAAACAACACTTAACTGTCTACACGCCGTGTGTTATTAATATTGGAGCGCTATCCTTTTCTGTACTTGCGGCTATCTGAACAACGCCGCAAAAGGTAATATAAATCTGCATATTTTTCTCAAACTTTACAGCTATGGGGATCTTCCGTTTTGCTTCTCAGAGACATATGCAGAGTTTTAGATAATGCTGATAGAAATTCTCATGATGATGGGCATCAGTCTAAAGATAATGGCGTAGTTAATGGTGGCCGTCAACCTAAGAGCAACCATAGTGCGTGGTCATTTAAGATTAATTTAGACTTAGGTCACTTTAATTGTAATGCTCTGAAGAATCAGCGATTTCTAGCTGAGTCTCTAAATGAATGCAGCGATTTGTCTGCAAAGAAGTAACTGCTTGCAAAAAGCAGAAACAGATGACCGATTTGCAATCGATAAACCAATCATAGGCTAACAACGTGAGGAATTAATCACCTCATTAGCGCATAAACAAAAATGCTAAATCACAAAATTGGAGAACTGTTAAGAATAATTATGGTGGAACAAGCTTCTCTTAGAAGAAAGATGGTGAGGATGCTAGACTAACTAGCACCGAATTATTTTGTGGCTGATGACTCAAATTTTGTCACACCAAACGTCGTTTTAATGAATCTCATTTTGAAAAAAATAGCTTGGTCATCTGCAAGCATGGCATCATTTGCAACGACAGTTTCTGGGTTCAAACTCATCACTGCCGGCTGTCGCTGTTGATCAGTGGTGAGCTAGGTCTGAACAGTACCAGTGTGAATAAAAGTATTCTTTAGGGAAGCCATCTAAATGTAAGATCAGAACTGTTCCCTTCTGGAAGGACAGGGACCCAAGGCGATACCCTTTATCAACAAAAAGAACAACCTATAGGATCGTAACACAGTACTCACAAGGTTGCTGAAAATTCTTCGACAGCCCTCGCCCTTCTTGAGGCTCATAAGTTAGGCGGGGTCCTTGAGTTTCCTTATGTTCTACTTGAACCCATATTGCACGAAATTGGCGAAATACACTCATTTACAAACAAATACGGATCGATGGATCGTCAGTTGAACCAGTTGTCACGTAGGTGACACAATCTTTGTGTTCGCTGAACGTACGTTTGCAAGAATCTCAACTCTTCTATCCCTTCACATGGTTTGCGAATCTAAAACGGTTCTTAGTTTAACGTGTTACCTATTAGTTACTGTGAGGCGATTGTCCCTTGGGACATGATGAGTGAACTGTAGGGTGGCTGAAGACCTCCCCAAAAAATTTTCAATCAACAAAAAAGCTGACAAACATCACAGTATTCCTCCCAAATTTGTCAGAACACTGGTGCTTCTACTGCTATTGATTCGAGGTAGCACGACTCGTATCACAAGGCGAAAGGGAATCATAAACGTCAGAGATAAACAAGTCGAATCCCCTTTATTCATTAGCTGCGCGTCGAACCTGTATAGCGTAAATTTATGTCATAGCACACACTTACTCAGCTCAGCACTTGATACTAGAGGGTAGGTGCTATACATTGTGAATCACCTGACTTAACTCATTGTCTGATAGTTCAGAAGAGTATTGGAAGAGGTTGATGGACAAGTCTCATATGGTCTGATCAAGTTCACCAAATGTTGGATACAGAACACGGATTGGATCAAAACGAATATAGTTCGGACTATGCCACATTGGAAGATGTGTTGTTTTTAGTAACTTTTACGGATAGATGAGCTCAGGTGCCTCCGTATATCTGTTAGGTAACCGAATTCCTTTTCGAACGGCGTAAACCAAGCCGCAAATGATTAAACAAAATATGACGGATGCATTTCAGCGAAATCTTCCCCCATTTTTTGTCATACGGCTGCCACGACGGTGGATGTACTTTTATCGCTGTTTTCAACACTAGTTGCTACTAGAGCTGACGGCGAAGCACAGTAGCACCCCAATTATTAACTTTTGTCCAGATCATATGGCTGAATTTAAGAAAGTGTACACACCTGAGACTAACTGCAGGGAGCCTTGTAGTAGGATACCTCCCGCCTTCTTTATTGGTTTAGCTTGTAAAAGCCCAAAGAACTTTTCCATCCCCCTTTATAAGGCCGGATACAGTTGGGAACGTAAAAACCTCGTCAGATGACAATTGTAAGCAACTACAGTAGTGGAACAAAGAGGCAATTAATAAGCAGAACGTTTAGAGCAGTGAGTTTTTCATCACAGCAATTCAGTCACTAGTGTGATGCGGTATGAAAATGAAAAACGCATATGCACAAAGTTTCAGGCAAGACGTCACGTGTTGTTGGGTCAAAGGGATATGTGTAATCAATCTAACACACACCCACACCAGCATATCACTTCGCAATGAAGTTGTCAGGCTGGTTGGTGAAGAAATTCTAGCAGTAAAATTGACCACCTTACTCAACAATTGGGACGTCAACATAACATC